TCTATCAGTATATACTATATCTAATAATATATAGTTATTAAAATTTATATATATTTATAAGATTATTGAAAAAATTTAGATTTCTTTAATAATTTTATAGATAATTTCCCGATAGTTAATAGTAAATATAGAATTAAGATTCTATCTCTTAATTCTATACTATATCTAATAATACATAGTTATTAAGATTTATATATATCTATAAAATTACTAGAAAAATTTAGATTTTTTTAATAATTTTATAGATAACTCTTCAGTAGTAGATAATAAAAAATATAGAATTAAGATTCTATTAATAGTCTTTGTTACGCCCGGGGATCCGCCCAAGGACTCTGCGACCAGTTAGCGATCTTGATTAGAAACAATTTACTTGATTAACTAGAATCTACTAGTGACTGATAGCAGTAGATAATCTGATATAGTCTAAATAATACCGATATTACTATAACAAATAGTTTAAGATAAGAAGACCAGATCAATCAAATATATATACTCGATTATTAGATAGTATAAATAAGCTAAGCTGATATAAATCTTGAATATAGCTATTAAATAACTGAATAGATTGATTATAAAGAACTACACTAAGTATATAAATAAGTATTCTTATATATTCTTTATTCTCCGGTAGGGAATCGATCGGTTCCGGTGTCCTGACGGTCGATGGCGCTCGGCGAGGCTATTCGTACTAGGAGCGCTCCGGTTCGAAAATCACATTACTGTAGCCAGTATATTATCTATTGATGCCGCACTAGACCGGGGTCTGTAACATACGGGTATATATCTTATTCTTCTGCATAACACCAAGAGGATTGTTCCTATATATAATAGTAGATAGTATATTAGACTAAAATATATAAGGATACTTATTTATATACTTAGTTAGCTCTTTGTAATTAATTTTAATTGTTACTACAGAGCTATCTTTGCTAATAAACCAGTCTTATTTATACTCTCTAATAATTGAGTATGTATACTCAATTAGTCTGGCCTTCTATTCTTGGGCTATCTTGTATATTACCTTGTTGTTACTGTTCGGACTATATCGGGTCACTCGTCGCCACCGGTCACTAGTGGATTCTAGTCATCAAGTCGTATCTAACCAAGATGGCTAACTGGTCGCAGAGTCCTTGGACGGATACCCGGGCGTAACAGCCCGGTTCCAGAATGGGTAACCTGTTTATTAGCTCAGCCATGTTACCTCTCGAAGTGCCCGCCCGGGTTGAGGGTTACCACCTGATGGATATACAACATTCACAGAATAGTAATTACATATCCTCCACTATCACACCTACTGTCATATTCGAGCCAATTTTCATTCTCGTTTCCTTCAAAATTTGTCCACGTCTGCATTCCCATTGCCCCAGCGAAGGCGTGCAGAATGCCAACCCGTTTGAGCTGACCTCTAGTCTCTCCAGTAGATTCAAGCAAAAGACATGATACGTTCCATGTTGGCAACTGATGACTGTCAAGGAACAACGGAAGGCAGTGAAATTTGTATGACGAAGGAGCGCAGTCAAATGGGATATAAAGGCGTACTCGATCATCTCACCAAATACCATTAAAGAAGACAAGCCCTTCACCGTCGGATTTGGGTTTAATTTCGACTGTCGCAAGTTGCCCAGAAACTTTCAGGTAACCACCTGTAATGATGCCAAAGGGCTCACCTGTAGCAGTCTCGACCTCACAGGTAAGTATATTGACTAATGGCTCTATATATTCGAGTTCTTCATCGGGGAACAGCGACAAAGAAACTTGGCCATCTACACTAGCCCAAGACCACGACGGTGCGCGATAGGGGCCAGGCCTTGAGACTTTTTCCCCTTTGACTGATGGACCAAGCCAAAACAAGTCAGTGAGGAGGGATGTCCTCCATAGCCCAGCACAGTACTGGTCCCTGAGAACACCTCCCATAATCTTCGAAATTCCGGAGAGAGCTATCAGTTTGTATGTTCCATATGTCAACCGTGCTGTTGTATAAACCTCCACAATTGCTTTCCACAGCTTCCTCATGCTATCCGTTCCCTGGTTTACCATATTCCTTGCCGTCACGTCAGTATTCCTCTCGGGGTTAAAAAGGAAACTCCATAAGACACCCCTTGTTAACCATTGCTCATGGATGTTTGGGGGTAAACCTCCTGGATATGTTTCACATGCGTTTAATTCATAGCATTCCCAGAAAAGTTGTGTTCCCGTCAAATGAAGGATCCTTGGCGCCAGTAAAAGCTCCTGAACAACCCATGCTCGTTTCATCAAAGGAAGATCTTTAAAAGTGGCATCCATGAAGTCATTGTGGTAGAGATTATAGTGGCGATTTTCACAATCATCCCAGGCCGACTTTATGATGCACGGTTGAATCAACGATAAATCCCTTTCTGGGAAGCAGCCAATGTCATGTCCTGTCGCTACACTTGCTGGGACTGTAAACCACATCTGTGCCAATACGGCTACCGGCATCTATATTCGCGTAAACATATTGGTTACTAAAAGGTGCGATAAGGATTCAGTTGCAACTTACCATCCATGCTTTGCAGACAGAAAGTAATACACCTCCCCCCAGTGTCGATCCCGTTTTTGTTCACAGTAAAGCTAAGCTCCAAGATTAATTCTTCCGCGATAGATTTACGACGGATATAATATTGTGAAACGGGCTTGTGGAATAGGGTTTCAGACTCTTCGGGCTGTTTGGACTGTCGTGGATGGTCAGAAACCGCATCCCACAAGACCCGGCAGATGTGGCATTTGTGAAAAGCTGCCTGCTCAAGGTCATTGACATGAAGATGGTGCGTATAAGTTCTCTGGTCACAATAACCCACAAATATTTGGTGACAGGTTGTGCATAGCATTGTCTAGACACTGTTGGTTGTAAACAAGCTTCGGGGCTATTTTTGTGGTTTCAAAGGCGACTGTGGAAACTTGATCAAAACGAGCCAATATTCGTAAGCCCGGATGTGGAAACTGAATTTAGATTCGCAATAGTTATTTTCATGCTATTTTGTTTGACCCATGTCCTTATGAATGTAAGAGCTTAACTCGTCTAAGCCACATAATTGACAGGGGGTCCTCTATTGACCAATAAGTAAACCGTGTCACCGAGTTGAAACGGGTGCTAAAAGTGTACACTACATCGAATGTGATGGCACGCAGCTACACCGCCCTGAAGGTTGACCAATGCGCAATAGACAGGTGGAGAGGGGAGACTGGCGGGTAGGCCTAGGAATGGTCCGGTCTCGGTCCCAACTTTAGAGACCGGGAGGCATGACAGAGTTTCTTTTCATTCTCACGCTTGGGTATTTTGTGATCCTCCCTTCGAGAGACATTATGATATTAAACTAGGCGCATTGCAGTCTGGGGTACTCATTGTACAAAATGTGTGTTGCTTTTCCTGCGCCTAGTCTGATCGAGGAGGGCTTCAATCTCTGGTATGCCATTCATAGGAGCCTAGGACATCGCCTTGCGTATGAATGCCGCCAATTCAATAACAAACGGCTCTTGCTGGTTTCAAACATCAGTATTCTATTTTTACAATGTCACAGATAATAACTCACCATCATAGAGAAGTGATTTGCGCCGTGGGCCTTTTCAATGGCAAGCTTACTCCCTGGGAAGAGATCTTCCCAGCCATTGCCAGAAAAGTCAGTTCTTTTCTCTGTTAAGAATTTCATTCCCACCGTATCATCCTTGTGAGGCGTCAAAGGTGGCAAATTTATATCGTCCATAATACTATCACAGGCCCAGATAAGGGAGACTTTGGGACATTGATAATCCATAAGGGGCTCGGCCCAGTAATCATGCAGGACATCGATGACCCCATTGAAGTGTGGAATCAGCCATTCGGGCTTCTTTGCAATATATCTCTTGTCATTCTCCACAGCAGTGTTCTTACCTAATTTGCCGAAGATGTTGAGCGAATCGCACATTTCGTAGAAGTGCTGTGGCAATCGGTCCAGGCCCCGGGGTGGAGGTGAGTCGATGAGGATAAGACTACGAATCTCTTCTCCTTCATCACTGAGTATCTGCGCAAGTCGGTAGGCGAGTATTCCCCCCGCCGACCATCCACCGAGATGGTATGGGCCAGTTGACTGGCGTCGACGCAGTTCAATCAGATATCCCTCGACAAGATCGCCAAGCGAGCAGTGCGAGAGTTTCGAGGGATCCTTGATATATGGGGAGTTAAGCGCAATGACACAAGTGTCTTTATCAATTCGAGGAATGGAAGCGTAGGATGTGGCAGAGCCTGACCCATCTGGGAGCAGAAATAAAGTTCTGCCACAGGACTTCGGAGAGCCCTGGAGAACAACCGAGGTAGCCTGGCGGACAGGTTGAACCTGACCTGTGGTGTCACTGCCCTGCGATGAGATGGGAGTAACATCTTCTCTCTTATCAAAAAGCGAAACTCGTCCGACCGGGCTTGGGCTCCTACTTGGCGTTTCTGCCGCAATTGGACTTGAGCTTGAGCCGTCTGTGAGGAACGACTTCAAGTCGGCAACGGTTGGGTTATCGACAAAGACAGAATCTAGATCGAAACTTTCCAGGCCCAACTCTTCCCGAAACCTGCTGACTATGACGAGGGAGAGTAGCGAATCAATGCCCATATCGGCAAAGACGGCGTCATTGGTGAGATCTGCAACGGCTATTCCGGCTTCTTCGGATATGATCTGAAGAGCTGTAAGGAAGTCACCCTCACTGGATTTAAATTCAGGCTCGCTGTGAATAATTGGCGCTTGTGAATAGTTCGCTTCCTCAAAAGCATGATTCTCTTCTTCAAGGGATCTCAAGGCCTCTCTAAGCTCATTGATTGTGGGGTAATCCATGAAAATGGACTCTAAATCCAGGTCTAGGTTCAGCTCCTCACGGAATCTTGCAGTTATTGCCAAGGATAGTAAAGAATCAATGCCTATGTCGACAAATGAGGCAGTGCCTGTGAGGTCGGAGACAGCAATACCGCTTTCTTCGGATATAATTTGGATAGCTTGCTGGAATCTAGAAGGTCTTGCGGGCTCAACGAGTGCGGGTATGGCGACGGTGGTAGGTTTGGATTGTTTAGAGACTGCAATGGTTGAAGGAGTAGTATGCGGCCTCTTTTGATGCTGACCACTTTCAACAGACAGGATGACGTCGAGTACTCGACGTGGAACCCCTTGAATCTGAATTTATTCAGTTAGTATTTTTCATGCTGAGTGGGTGACTGGTGGCATACTGCAAGTTGCTGAAAGCAGGCAACGACCTTGTCACCATCAAAGACAATTATGTCTCCATGCCAAAGGTTATCCTTGCCGGGGATCATCTGCGTATACGTCGTGTATTCTCTATCCAAGGAAATATCTTCAAATATCTGGCACGAACCCCAGCCATGGTTGATGAATACTTCGAGATCGAGATCGCACTTCTCGTTACAATTCATCGCAAAACCGCAGGACTGGGTGAACGCATCTATTATAGCCGGATGTGTATGGAATACACCTTCTGTGTTGATGCTCCCAAAACTCACCCGACTAGAGGCCTCGAGGGTTCGGCTATTCAAAACAATTTCATCAATTGCTCTGTAGTCAGCATGAAAATTTGCCAATGGGCGAATCATCCTATAAACCATATGGCGATTGAAACGTGCTGCCGTTTCAGCTGCAATGCCCTGTCGCAATACCTTCATGTGCCGCTTTACATCCACGGCTTCTGTTTCCAGCTTCTCTAAAAGCCTCCGATCTTTGAATCGGATCACACATTGGGCATGTTGTAGTTCATTTCCCTTGCTCTATCCACCAATTTATCAGCATGTGCTTCTTTCTATCACTACTTCTGAGTGTCACTTACATCAAATGTGACAAATTTGACGGTGGATTGTTTTGATGCCCAGTCAGCTTCCACATGAGCCTGGAGTGGTTGAGGTCCCTGAGGCTTTGCGATCAATGCCTTTGAGATGACCATTTCGGAAACATCTACTAGTCTGTCTTCGAGAAGGGGCTGGTATCTCTCTAGCAAGTATTTACCCATCGACAGAGCAATATCTGCATATATCGACTAGTTAAAGTGTTAAAGTCGTTTCCTTCATCTATTGTTTCCTTTTCTATATCAGAGTAAAATGGACTTACTGGAGTGCAAAGAGGTATATCGCCAATGACATGGCCTTGCACGAGAGGGTTGAGGTCTGGTCGGGAAATGTCTGCCTCAACGATGAGAGACACCGTGTTTGAATCAGAAGTCTCCTCGACCACCCTGTGAATAGTGGTGCTCTCGAGGGTGCTGAGATTATTGATCACCAGAGGCCGGTCGCCTTTACGCAGTGACCAGTCATTGACATATTGAATCCAATAGTCTTTCAAATCCCAACAGTAGCTGGGGAGTTGAACCACTCTATGAGATGCTTTGAAATCCTGATGGTATGCTAGCCAGCATATGCTTTTGCCGGAGTTATGGATAGCTTTCAGAGCCGCTGTAAGAGTGTGCCATATTGGCCGGTTTCTTTGAGCCGTCGACAAAGCCGTTGTCTGTGTTCCAAGCGTAGCCTTCAGCATCCCAGAAACAGCTGGATGTGGACCGATCTCAAGAAAGATGGTTCTGTCTGTGATGACCTGGCTATTATAGGCTGTCTCTAGAGCCGTAATCATATTGACGGGATCTCGACAATGCCGGGAAAGATAGACTGGCCCAACAACGCCAGCTGCTGTTATCAGGTCTCCGTCAAGCGGAGAGATGACGGGGATACTCGGGCTATGGTATGTGACCCCTCTGGCAACCTTCTCAAAATCAGGCAGAATAGGCTCAACCTGGGACGAATGAAAGGCGTAGGGAACTTTCAAACAAAGTGTCTTCAGACCTGCCTGTTTCAAGCTCTGCTCTAAGGCAATGACATTCTCAATTGAGCCAGCAAGCACGGTTTCTGTTGGGCTATTGATACATGCAGTCTCATACGGCGTATCTTTGAGAATGCTAGCAATTTGGTCTGTCGAGGCGTTGACGACTAGCATAGAATGTGTGCCTTGAGTGCACATCTGGACAAGAAGCTCCGCTCTTTTACCAACAAGGAATATTGTGTCAGCATCACTGAGGACCCCCGCAACATTCAGTGCTGCAAATTCACCCAGGCTATGCCCAATGACCGCTGCAGGCATGATGCCCCAAGAAGCCCAGAGCCTGGATAACGCCATCTGCATACAGACACTGGCCAGCTGAACCATCACAGGGGAGAAGTCTGTGATCTGTTGCCGAGAAGCATCTCCTTGTATCACTGGGAGAAAGGATGGGAAACCCAAGCTCTGTGACATCCTGTCAAGGCGATAGATATTATAACGGAACTGGGAGAAATTCTCCACAAATGACTTGCCCATACCGGGATACTGTGCACCCTGGCCCGTGAAGGTGAACACCAAATTCGAAGATATGGTCTTGTTCACCCCAGTCTGGTCCCGAATAGCTACCTCTATTTGACTACAGATCTCGTCTAGTGTCGAGCCCGTCAGCATCACCCGATGCTGGTGGTGATTCCGGCGTGCGGTGGTTGTATAAGAGAGCTGACCAAGCGGGATATCCGTTCGCCCCCGAAGAGATTCTAGCATTGTCTTGAGATTGGCTTGCAGAGATACAGCATTTTTGGCTGAGACTGCCAAGCCAA